AAGTTCTAGCCAAAAGTGCTTCTGTGTGCAGGGGAAAATGCCACTGCAGGAGGCCCACTTCCTCCTTGCTCTTGACCACAGCACACCTACCTGTCCTGGGCCTATGTATAAACAGGTTGCATTGCTGTGACAGCCGCCAGCGCCGGGCAGCAGGCAGTTGTTGATCTCTGAACAGTCTCTTCCATTCCCGGTCCATCCCTGCTGGCACACACAGGTGTGTGTCCCCATGCCAGTTTTGATGCATTCTGCCTGTGGGAGGAAAAGAAAAAGCAAACCCTCTGAAACCTCGGTCGAGCCACATGACTCCAAAAGGAAAAGGATTTCCAGAGGTGCATTCTAGAAACATATTTATTTGAAGTGAGATGAATGGAAAAGATTTAGTGATTTTAAAGAGCAAAACTACTTGGAGTTGGCCAGCTAGGGCTACAATTACTAATACTGTCATACCCTTATTGAGCCAGGGACTGTTTTTGATGTTTTGTATGTGTAAACAAGCATCCTGATGTGGAAGGTTCTGTTACTATCTCTGTTTTACAGATAAGGAAATGAGGCACAGAGAAGTTAAATAACTTGCCCAAGGTCACACAGCTACAAAGAGGCATGAACCAGGTCTATATAATGTCAGGGCCCAAACTCCTGTCCACGATACCACCTCTCAGGGACTCTCAGGATGACCATACCTGGAGGCTGAAGTTCCGGGTGAGAGGGAGAGAGAGGTGTAAGATAAGTTGTTGAGAAAAGGCTGTCTGAGGTAGGTGGGGCTAGCCCAAGGGGAGTCTGATCAGCTGGGGTAAGGCATTTGAGTCTGGATTTCATCCTCAGAGCCAGGGAAAGTTACTGAAGGGGTTTAAGCTTTGGGAGAACTTGATATGATTCACTTCAAGGCCGCTCTGGCTGTTGCATGGACAATGTACTGTGGGTAGGCAAGAGAGGAAGCAGGGAGACTAATTACTAAACTATAGGTAAAGAATGAAGGTAGTACAAATGGTTAAATGCTAGACTACTAACCAAAAGGTTGGCAGTTCAAACCTATCCAGAGATGCCTCGGAAGTAAGGCCTGGCAGTTGGCTTCCGAAAGGTCACAGTCTTGAAAATTCTATAGGGTACAGTTCTACTCGGCACAATTGGGTTGCCATGAGTCAGAATCGACTCGATGGCAACAAACGACAATAACAGGTCCAAGGAGCTGGTGATATGATATTTGAAAAGTTAGTGAAGGCAGTGGTGGGTTTTGGCCACATCCCCTAATAGAACTTAGGGCAAGTCACTTAACCTTCCTGAACTTCAGTTTCATAATCAGGAAAATGGGGATAACAATATCTGCTTCATTGGGTCGGTGGGAAGGACAAAACAGATCACGTACATTAAAGTCCCTTGTAAGCTGTAAAGTCTGAATCAATAGTTTATTACTATTGATCTCAGCATCTGATTTTCAGGCTGTTTTTAAGATCCCAAAGCCCCCTGCACATCTGGAGCTGGGGCACCCCCTGCAGGTATCAGCAAGACGCAGCTCATGGTAGGCGTGGGGCAGCCATATTTGAAGTGTTCTCCACAAGGTTCAAACGCAAGTGCTTCACACCTATGAAAAGGGATCAGATGCAGCCTTTTTGGAATGCTCTCCCTCAGGATCTCCTCAAAAAGCCAGGAGTTTGGAAATAAAGACTAACACTCACATTGCGGCTGCAGCCCCCTGGGGTTAATCCCACGCAGGGATCCGTCTCTGAACAGAGAGTTCCGTCGCCTTCATATCCTGCTTTGCAAATGCAGCTGCGAAGAAGAGGGCACAAAATCAACCATAAAAGTATAAGCACCAGTCACCCCTGAAAGGGCCAGCCAGGCAGGGGTGAACTTGTTCATGGCCAGGTGGCTCGACAGTGTAGGAAGGAGGTTGAAGCACTTCTGGGATCTGTAGTCAGACACCTGGGTGTGAATCCAGGTCCTGCCTCTTAGCAGTCCTACCAGCAGTGTGTGAGCCCCTTAACCTCTGGGAGACTTTGTTTCCTTATCTGGAAAATGGGTCTAATAATTCCACATTGCTCATAAGGCTGACCCAAAAACCAAAATCCATTGCTGTTGAGTTGATTCCAGCTCATAGAGACCCTATAGGACAGAGCAGAACTGCCCCATAGGGTTTCCAAGGAATGGCTGTGGATTCAAACTGCCGCCTGAGCTCTTAACCACTGTGCCACATAAGGCCGAGGGGAAGATTAAACGAGCTAATGCATGTGGAGCACTTAGCAGGGCATGTGGCTTATCATCAGAGGCACTATGTGGCAGCTTTTCTGCTCTTATTGGCTGGAACCTGCCTCTTTGTAACCCTCCTCTCTAACGCTAGTTATTACTTCTGGTTCAGCAGACAACAGCTCTAACACTCTTCTGTGAGACAGCTCTTACAATACATGAAAATGAGGGTCAGGTGAGAGCCCTCCCCTGCCCCTTCACTGGTCCTTCAAAGTTTTCTTTTTTCTAGACAGGACACTCTTAGGTGCCTCATTTCGTGAGCTGGCATGGTTTCCTGACCCTTTACCCTCTCAGACACACTCCTCTCAGAATGTCCCAACAAATATTTATTGAGTGCCCTGTGGTAGTGCTGGGGGCACCCATTATACTCTTACATAACTGCAAATTCAGTCATATATGCTTCGCAAAAATTAAAACAAAATTATTTTTCATTTATCAAGACTTCCATAGGAACCAAATACTATACCTGGTGTCCAAATGAAGACATAGGGTGGTCTATCCCAACCCTGACGTATCTAAGGCTACATAGTTCTATATAGTTTACACAGACCCACATCTGCAGTCTATTGTGGGTGGTTTTTAGGGGTAATTTTTTTGCCTTATGCACTGACATAGACTCTAATTGCTTTGGAAGATGTATTTCCATTGTACAATTTTGGGGAAAAAAGACATAGTCTCTGGCTTCATGCAACCTACAGTCTAGTGGGGGAGACAGACCATAAATAAGCAAGCAAAAAAACAAACAAACAAACAAAAAAAAACCCCGTTGCTGTTGAGTTGATTCTGACTCAGGGCAACACTATAGGACAGAGTAGAACTTCTCCATAGGGTTTCCAAGGAGCGGCTGGTTGGTTCAAACTGCCGACGTTTGGTTAGCAGCCGAGCCCTTTAACCACTATGCCACCAGGGCTCCGAGTAAGCAAATGACTATACAATTACAAATTAAGAAAAGTAGTATAACAATACAGTCCACAAATTCCAGACATTCTGTGCATTACCTAGGATATTTCGAGTGGTTACTGACTTTCAAAGGAGCCTTGGTGGCGCCGTGGTTAAAGTGCTTCGCTGCTAGTTGAAGTGTCGTTTGTTAGAACCCACCAGCCACTCCAAGGGAGAAAGATGTGACAGCTTGCTTCCACAAAGATTACAGCCTTGGAAACCTATAGGGCAGTTCTAGTCTGTCCTATAGGGTTGTTATGAGTTGGAATGGACTCAACGGCAATGGGTTTGGTTTTGGGGACTGCCTTTGAGCCAGATATTCCTGGAGAGGAAAATTTTATCTGATACTTTTTCCCCTAAAGCTACTGCATATATTTGACAGCGTTAAGGAAACAAATGGTGGTCTGTTAACTTTAGACCCAATATCCTGCAAAATGCCTTTAACAGGTGAGCTGTCACTGGAAAGGTTTCTAGGTGGTGTGAACAGTTTATGCTCAGCTACTGATCGAAAGATTGGCAGTCCAAATCCACCCGGGGTGCTGCGGAAAAAAGTCCTGGAGACCTACTTCCGTAAGATTACAGCCATTGAAAACCCTGTGGAGCCCAGTTCTACTCTGAAGCACGTGGGGTCATCATGAATTGGAATAGACTCAACTGCAACTGGTTTTTGTCATTGGAAAGCTGGTCACCAAATCTTCATTTCCTTCTTGTGAGTGATGGTAATAATTATAGTGTCCATGACTGAATATTATGTGCTCTCTCTGGTGCTGGGTGCTTTTGTATTCAGTTTTTCTAATCTCCACAATTTCCTTGCAAGATAGGTAACATCATCCATATTGAACTTATGAGGAAAGTGAGACTCAGAGAGGTTAAGTAACTTGTCCAAGGTCACACAGCTGGTAAGTTTCAAAGCAAGGAATACTACAAGTTGAACCCAGCTTAGGTTCTTTCCTACAAAGTCACACCATCAGCTGGTGAGAATAGGGCTGAGTTTACAAAGAGTTGAGACATGGTTTGGGTCCATGTACAGGTAACAACAACCACACAGGTAGCATAGTGGCTGTGGGCCGTTGAGGGTGGTGCCCTACCTGGCTGTCCCATTGCTGTATTCACAGGTGGCGTGGATGTGACAGAACTCCATATAGGGCCCACAGGTGGAGGTCTGCTTGTTGCAGAACTTCCCAGCAGAGCCATCTCTGCAAGTGCTGGCGAGGCAGGCCCCATCACTGTCTATCCTGTTGTCGCATGTTCCGTAAACGCATGGACATTCTGGCAGAGAAGGAAGAGGGACACATTGAGGCACAACATGGTAGAGGACAGGGACCAGCTCTGTCGCCCCTTCCTCACTCCTGTCAAAGCAGAACCTGGGATTGAGCCACGGGAAGGCTCTGGTTGCTATTTTTTAGGGACTCAAGTGTTTCTCTGGGTGCTTGGGAGGCCCCTTGGCCAGCTTGCTTGTCCCACCAAGGATGGGAAGAACTTGACTCAAGGCTACTTAGATGCATGTGTGTTTGTGTGGCAGGGGGGATGAGGGTGGGCTGTGACGGTGTGAAAGAAGTGGCCAAGGAACTTAATTTTCAATGACTTTATGGTTAGAAAGTTTAGTCTAGAAATTTCTCACCTTTTCATGAAGACATTCTGGAGTAGAAATGATTTCTCTATGCTGGCTCTACCCCTGATGTGTAGCTCAAGTATTTGTCCTTCACTCTCTAGCACAGCCACCAATGATAACTAATGGCCAGTATTTGGGCGCTGACTTTGTTGTAGGCACTGGGCCAGCATTTAACATGTGCCATCTCATTACTAGTCATCAATCCCAGGAGGGAGGAACTTTTGTAATCCTCATCTTCTAGATGAGAAAACTGAGATCCAGAGACGTGAAGCAACTTGTCCAACTTGCTGCTAAATTCTAAAGCAGGTATTTAAAACCAGGCATTCAAAGTCCATTTCTATTAGTTGTTGTTAGGTGCCCTTGAGTTGGTTCTGACTCATAGTGACCCAATGTACAACAGAACGAAACGTGGCCCTGTCCTGCACCATCCTCACAATTGTTACTATGTTTCAGTCCATTGTTGCAGCCACTGTATCAATCCATCTCGATGAGGGTCTTCCTCTTTTTCGATGACCCTGTACTTTACCAAGCATGATGTTCTTCTCCACGGAGTGATCCTTCCTAATAACATGTCCAAAGTATGTAATACATAGTCTTGCCATCCTTGCTTCTAAGGAGCATTCTGGCTGTACTTCTTCCAAGAAAGATTTGTTCATTTTCCTGGCAGTCCATGGTATATTCAGTATTCTTTGACAACACCACAATTCAATTGCACCAATTCTTCTTGGGTCTTCCTTACTCATTGTCCAGCTTTCAGATGCATATGAGGTGACTGAAAATACTATAGTGTCATGGATTGATTGTGTCCCCAAAAAATATGTGTCAACTTGGTTAGGCCATGATTCCCATGTCCTCCATTTTGTGATTGATACACTTTTCCTGTATGTTATAAATCCTAATCTCTGCCTGTGGTTAATGAGGCAATATTGGACTATGTTGAAGAGGATTAGGGTGGGATGTAATACCCTTGCTCAGGTCACATCCCTGATCCAATGTAAAGGGAATTTCCCTGGGATGTGGCCTGCACCAACTTTTATCTTACAAGAGATAAAAGGAAAGGGAAGCAAGTAGAGAGTGGGGGACCTCATACCACCGAGAAAGCAGCACCAGGAGCAGAGTGCATCCTTTGGACCCAGTGTTCCTGCGTGGAAAAGTTCCTAGTCCAGGGGAAGATTGATGACAAAGACCTTCCTCCAGACCTGACAGAGAAAGCCTTCCCCTGGAGCTGATGCCCTAAATTTGGACTTCTAGTCTACTAGACTGTGAGAGACTAAACTTCTGTTTGTTAAAGACATCCACTTGTATTTCTAGCAGCACTAGATGACTAAGATACATGGCTTGGATCTGGCGCACC